AGTTGACTCAGTGGTAGTATCGGTGGTGGTTGATTCGGTGGTGGTCGAATCGGTGGTAGTTGACTCAGAGGTGGTAGAATCGGTGGTCGTTGACTCAGTGGTAGTGTCGGTGGTAGTTGACTCAGTGGTGGTAGAATCGGTGGTAGATGACTCAGTGGTAGTGTCGGTGGTAGTTGACTCAGTGGTGGTCGAATCGGTGGTAGTGGACTCAGTGGTAGTGTCGGTGGTCGTTGACTCAGTGGTGGTAGAGTCAGTGGTAGTTGACTCAGTGGTGGTAGAATCGGTGGTCGTTAACTCAGTGGATGTGTCGGTGGTTGTTGATTCGGTAGTGGTAGACACTGTAAACAAAGAAGACCAGATATGATTTTTAGTCTGAACTTTGTCGGAACCTGTACAAGTAATAGCAATTAGTTAAAGGGAAAAATATCATCTTAACGTTACAGTTGCTATACATATTCGTATTATTAGTTTAGATTTTAAAACACTCACCAGTCGTTGTTTCTGTGCATGTTCCACACTGAAAGAATTAAGCAACACAATATTGAAACAAATTCTGTATATCGCCGCGATAATAATCATAATGTCTCCAATTAAATTGTTAAATGATTGAATAAGCAAGTTTTACGTCAAGTTATGCAAGGTTGTTAAATATCCACTTTTTATGAATGTACATGTATGATTACGGTTTTTTTCAAAACCATTTAACTGAATGTCCATAAACCATACTTAAAATTTCATTTTGCCGACGCGTCTGTGTAAAGTGTTTAAAAAGGAATGGCGTTGGTCTTCAGCAAAAAGTTATATCGCTTATTCTGTATAAATGAGTAAATGAATCAATATTTAAATCTTTATCACTCCTAGAAATGAGGTTGCTATTTTCCCTGCTTGGTTAAGTATTTCCGATCTAAGAGGTCCAGGATAATAAAGGACTATTTCCACAAACATTTCTTTCATTTACGGATTTTCTCTATTTATCTTACGCTACCCTCTTATTACATTATATTTATCATGATGTTTTATTTATATTGATCATTGTCTTTTTTTATTCAACATTCATTGAAATAAACAACGTTTAACTTACCGGGGGAGAACTTAAAGCGTAATAGCAGATGCACCTGCTGGCACACGCACCAGTCCCACAGCACCCGATAAGTATCGGTAGAGGATAGCTAGTTATACATGCTGCTATGCAGGCGTCTAATGTACCTGTGGCAGTGTAGATGGTAGTCGAGTCATAAAGATACACCTCTGAACAAGCTAGTAAGATTAAAAAATAAGAAAAAAAAAACACTTAATAAAATAGCATTATTTGTATTCCATTAAAAACAAATCTGAGCGAAAGAAAAACATCTTAAAACAAACCATTTAGTTATTACAATTTTGCTGAAGAAAAAAATAATAACAATTAAAATACATTTTTCTCGGTATGACGACTTGTACTGAATACACTTTCCATAAAATATATCTGGACAAGAGTACTTAGTGTTACATTTGCTTCAAATGGTTAACAAAAATTACCAAACTTTTATATAAAATTCCTCTATTAAGAAATATATGGGATTCGCGTGGTGTTTTGACGTATATCTGATATGGTGAGAGAGTGAAAAGTTGCGTTATTACCTGCCTGTCCTTGTACAGTGGTAGGTGGAACTGAAAGAAAAAGTGAATTAACATGAATATTCTTTAAGATGCTATACAATAAAGTAATAAATACAGGTAAATCAGTGGAAACCCCACATGATCAGAATCGAGTAAAAACATGTAGGTTAGAAAAGAATAGTTTAACGACTGTTTGTTCGATTATATCTAATCTCTCACATCATTTTTCACTTAGTACAAAAATACAAAAAATACTAAACATAGCTATTGTCAATTTGTTGCTGTCTATTCCAAGCACTCACCCAACGTTACAGAAATGTACAAAGTAAAGAGAAGATGCCCGACCGCTTTCACTGACAAACCCATCCTCAGCTGTGGTTCTGTTGCAGACATTACTGACTCTCTACAGAATGTGCATGTAAAAAAAAGCGGTCGTTTATATAGCCTGTCACCATGCAGAATCTAATTTGCAGTCCACGCCCACTTTGTTGCTTACAAACGAAGCACGCGGTGTAACAAATGATACTATATCTTCCCGTTACTTATGTGCTGTGTGCTGTCTGTCACTGATAACTGTATAATAAATACTTCTCCCCCATGATAAGATAAGATAAAATAGACATTGAATCAATTTCAATTCCAAGGACAGTAAGCTACCACTGGATGTTAAATTCACGTAACTATAAACGTTGGTTATATATATATATATATATATATATATATATATATATATATATATATATATATATATATATATATATCACCACTTTTGTATTCACAGTTTATTGTGTTGCTTCGTATCCCGATTGTTTGATTGTCAAGTTTGAGGAAGATACCACCTGCGCTGGCCTTATTAGCACTTCTGAGTCAGATTATCGAAATCAAGTTTCCGCCCTTGTTTCATGGTGCTCTGAAAACGACCCCGAGCTCATCGTCAAAAAGACGAAAAAATTATCGTAGTTTTTAGGAAAAATCCAACAGAAATCAGTTATCTTATGCTAAATGGTTCCGAGTTTGAAAAAGTTAGACATTTTGAATTTCTTGGCATACATATCTCTGATGATCTAAAATGACATATTATTTCATTTGACTATTCAAAAAAAATCACAATGAAGTCATAAAAAAGGTGAAAAATATATGGGTACATTTACATCGACCTTCCATATTTTATTTATTACTGATCCTCTCTCTATCATTATTTTTAATATTGTGATGGCTAAAGAGATTTGCTCTGCACGTGTAATTCATGCTTATGAGTGACACACCCAAGGACAACACTCGGAAAAGGTGTGCAGTGGCAAAATGGCTGGAATATCCAGTATATGACGCAAAATGTGATTGGTCGATGTATTGGGAAGTAAGTGTCAGTACATATAGTATCATTTTATGACGCGTTTAAGGATAGATACTTTAATAGACACTATCTAAAATGCATGGTTATCTTAGTTGTGGACCTGAATTGACAATCATTACTATTAAGTTTGAGAAAAAAATCCAGCCTCTCCTTC